ATGGCAATGCTGACAGTTTACATCTACGCAGAACACTCCATGGGCTGGATACTGTGCAAAGCACGTTGTGTGTTCTGCTGATCCAGTCAACGCCAGCCCCTCAGAGGACACACTGTCACTGCCCATCTCACCAATGATGCAACAGAGACTCAAAGAAGTTAAATTTCTTGCCCACCCAAGCTCACCCCACTGGTAGGTGGCAGAGCATGGATCTGAACACTGGAGTCTGACACCCAAGCCTCCCTCTGAGCCACCAAGACTCTTGGTCTTCTCTAGGGATAAAGGAGACACAGGAGGGCTGGTCACATGAGGGAAGCAATGGGGGCATTTTGCTCACTGTCTGAAACTGAAGATGGTGACATGGTTCATGGAGACACTCACCTGTGGCTGACTAATGGTTAAAAAGTTGCCAGCAGGATCACCATCTAGTGCCAATGATTCTGAAAAAAGGGGAATTCAAAAGAGATTAAATGCAAAACCCCCGAATTCAAGAGGGAGAACATTAAAAAAAAACAACAACTCAGATCTCTATGGAGGTAATGTTGTGGTGAGAGGCTTTCCCTCATGCTGATTGGACAAATTCCATTAACTGTTTCTGGGTTCTCCCTGGCTGAAGGTGAAGGTCATTGCCAGGAGCTTTTTATCTCAAGGTTGAACCGGTAGCCTTATGTGTAGTAAGCAATATAGGGTGGACCCAGCAAAACAGCCACACTAGCTCTCAGAGGCCCCAGGTGCACCGAGATTGGAGCAATGCAGCCACAAACCAGGGGTTGCTGGCAACCACCAGAAGCTAGCGGAGAGAATTGAAACAGATTCTCCCTCAGAGCCCCCAGGAAGGAACCAGCCTTACGGACACCTTGATATTGGACTCCTGGCCTCTAGAACAGTGTGAAAATACATTTCTGTTGTTTTAAGTGACCCAGTTTGTGGTACTTTGTTACGGCAGCTGCAGGATACTGATGCAGTGATTTTCAGAGGGTGTGGAGAGAAAATCTGCAGAGATGGGCTCTCGGGACCCTTGGGCAGAAGAAGAATGAGGTAATGGGCTCTGGCAAACAGGACCTATGTTTGATGTTACAACAGATAAAGCAATTGGTGCTGAGGAAACACACAGTTTAATGGAACAAACAAGCTGAGAAATAGCCCTGCATATGTATGGAAATGTGTATGGTGTTTCAGGTCAGTAGGGGAAAGTGAGGCCAATGAATGGTATTCAGATAACTTAGAACAGTCTGGAAAAAATGAAGCTGGAACTGCCTACATCACTTCCTATGTGACAATGCATTCTTGATGGATCAGAGGTTTAAATGTTATTACAAAATAAAGCCACAGCTTCTGGAATGGAATAGACATATTTTTTCCTACTTGTCCTGCAAAGTACAGATAAAACACTTGAACATTATAAGAAAGCAAACATAAGAAGGCTCTGAAAAGTGGAGAGAAGGCAGATGGGCCAGGGAGCTCAGGACCCAAGAAATGGCACAGTGGTGAGTTCCCTGAGTTTTCTTTTTGCCTCAAACATCCCAGACTGGGTGCTGGAAAAGCTGGCAACCTAGAAATTCCAACAGGTGTACATTAGAAAAGCCCTAAGAAAAAAATCTGATCTCTTTAGACAAAAGGACCGGGAAAGGAGCAGCCTGGCAAAGTAGGAAGTTTTAGATAATAATCACTATTCTTCTACCAAACACTGCAGGGACACTGCAGTCCCACCCCCACCTAGCCAGCAAAGGCTGAGTGAGGAGCCCAGACTTTGACCCCTGCCAGGTTGTGACAAGGCACCCCAACCCACCCTCCTTCGCTATGGGGGTGGCACAGAAGGCCCTAGTAGGGACCTTCATCTCTGTTGGTGGTAATGAGATCCCTCTGCGGGTTTGGTGGAGACTGTGCATGGAGCCTGGGGGTGAAGGCAGCTGAGTTTCCGCCCCTACCTTGAAGTAATGAAGCGGCATCCTCTCTTTCCAGCCAGAGTAAAGTCAGAGGAAGCCTGGTAAACAGAAGATTTAAATAACACCAGAGTCAAAACGTAATGCCAAAGATATCCAGGTTTCCATAGAAAAATCACTCATCATACCAAAATCCTGGAATATCTCAACTTGAATGAGATAAGGCAATCAACAGACACCAACACTGAGATGGCACAGATATTAGAATTATACAAGGATTTTAAAGCAGCTGTCATAAAAATGCTTCAATAAGCCATAACGACCATGCTTGAAACAAATGAAAATGTAAAATATCTTAGCAAAGAAATAGAAAGTCCAAGCAAGGAGACAGAAAACATAAAGAAGAACCAACTGGAAATTTTACAACTGAAAAACACAATAATCGAAATAAGAAATCTATGCCAATACACATCAAAACCAAATTTCTAAAAACTAAAGGTAAAGAAAATGCCTTGAATGCAGTAAGAGAAACCCAATACTTTACAGTGAGAAAATGATTAGAATCACAGCAGATTTCTTATCAAAAACTATGGAAGTCAGAAGAAAGTAGCAGGATATTTTTCAAAAGCTTACAGAAAATAACTATCAATTCAGAATTCCATATCAAATGAAAATGGCCTCCAGGAATGAAGGGGAAATTAAGAACTCAGATGAAGGAAAATCAAGAGAATTTATCACTAGCTAAATTATCCTAAAAGAATGGCTGAAGAAAAATTTTGAAATCAAAATAAAATGATAAAAGAAGGAATCTTGAGACACCAGGAAAAAAAGATAGCATAAAGAGTAAAAATACAATAGGTTTTCTTTTCTTGTGTTCTAAATTATGTTTGATGATTAAGCAAAAATTATAATGCTTTCTGATGAAGTTATTCAATATATGTAGAGGAAATATTTAAGACAATTATATTATAAATGGAAAATTTAAAGAGACATAAAGGAAAGTAAGATTTCCAAGATTTCATTTGAACTGAATGAATGTTGACATCAGTAGACTATGATCTGTTATGTACACATAATAAGATCCCTAAAGTGCCTCCTAAAAAAGTATAGAAAGAGACACATTCAGAAACACTATTTATAAATCAAAATGGAATTTTAAAAAATATTCAGGTAATCACAGGAAGGCCAAAAAAAGAAAACAAATGAATAATAGAGAGAATGAACAGAAAATGAACAAAAAAACAAAATGGCAGGCTTTAGCCCTAGCATATCAATAATTACATTAAATATAAATGGTCTAAATATACTAATTAAAAAACTGAGATTAACAGAGTGAATTAGAAAACAGCCATGCTGGAAAACAGTTTGGCAACTTAAAAAAAAAAATCAAACATACACTTACTATATGACCAAGCAATTGCACTCCTGGGTATTTATCCCAGAGAAATGAAAACTTATGTCCACACAAAAGCCTGATTGTTCATAGAAGCTTTGTTTGTAACAGCTCAAAATTGGAAAAAGCCAAAACACCTTACAATAGGTGGGTAAACAGTTAAAACTGTGGAACATCTATACCATGGAATACTACTCAGCAGTAAAAAGGAAAGAACTCTTGATACAGGCATTATCAAGCTCTTAAGGGCATTATGATGAGTGAAAAAAGCCAATCTCAAAAGGCCACATACTGCATAATTCCACTTATATAAAGTTCTCACAAGGACAAAACTATGGAGATGGAAAATAGATTAGTGGTTGTGCAGGATTAGAAGTGACGGGAAAAGAGGATGGGTCTGACAAAAGAGGGATTATCTCAGTGGTGATGGAACAGTTCTGTATCTTGATTGTGGCGGTGGTTACACAAGTCTGCACAGGTGATAAAATGGCATAGAACACACATTGTATCAATGTCAATTTCCTGGTTTTTGTGTTGTATAACTTTTAATTAGGTTAGCTGTAACCACTGAGGCAAACCAGATTTGGGTGGGGTGAGGTACAGGGGCCTCTCTGAACTATCTTTGCAACTTCTGATGAATCTATGATTCATTGTTTCAGACTAAAAAGTTAAAAACAATAAAGGCATAAAAGTTACAGGAGGCAGCATGAGTGAAAAAAAAAATCACCTAGAACTCAGAAAGGAAAAAGTCAATAAATTGAGCTATATAAAAATAAAACCTGTTTGGTAGAGTAGACCATAACAGAGTCAAGAGACAGATAAAAATCTGGGAAAACATATTTGCAACATCTGTGGCAGACAAATGTGACAGGCCAATTTCCCAACCTCGTGGAGTTCACATAAATCAATAAGAAAAAATAACCCAATAGAAAAATGGGCAAAGGATGTGAACGGACAATTTACTGAAAAATAAATACAAATGGCCAATAAATGTGGGAAAGATGCCCAATCTCATTCTAAATGAAGGAAATCTAAAACACACAACAGTGAAATGTGTTGTTCAGTTATTGGATTAACAAGAAATGGAAAACAGTGATGCCCTAGGGCTGGTGGTGATGGAGAGGTAGACAGTTCTCTACATGGTGGGTGGGAATGTAAATCAGGGCACTCTTTCCAGAAGACAGTTAGGGAATAATTATGAAAATTAAAGCTACTCCCAGCAACCCCACTTCTATGCAGTTATCCTGAAATCACGCTCTCGAGTTTCTCCAGACACATGCCCCAGGATGTTTTTGTACCCATATATGGATTTTACTTGTAAAATGGTGCCTGGCGCATAGCAAGTGCTGTGTAAATGTTTATTAAATAAATCAATAGGGGCGTTCTGGTGCAAAGCTCTCTAGAAGAAACAAACGGCATGTGTACAAAAGGACTCCTTTCTGTACTTAAAAATAAGAATATGCACATGCATGTGGATACTTGCACTACACGTGTGTATTTCTATGTAGGAGTGGGAGGGAAACTTTCACTTAATTTCTTAACTGTTCCTGTGAGACTGAACTGTTGTTCAGTAAATACTCACTCTCTTCCCCCTTCCCTTTGGGGTGAAGTCGACTTCTCTGGGTTTGGTCATGTGATTTGCTTTAGCCAAGAGACAGTGAGCAGATGTTGTACAAATAGGCTTTAGATGTGCTTTTGTGTTTCGGCTTGACACCCTGTGCTTCTGCCTTTGGAGTGACAAGGACATGTTCTGAGCGATCACTGGTCCTAGTTAGAGAGAGTTCTGGAGACCCACAGACTGAAGCAGGACTGCTCCAGCCAACCTGCAGACCTATAGGTGAGAAAACCCTTTGTCACTGTAAGCCACTAAGATTGGGAGATCACTTGTTACAAAGCATTATTTCTGGAGTAGGTGCCTAATAGAGTATCCTTCTAAACTTTTTGATCTTTTTCTATCTTACACATACGTGTGTGTATATATTTTATCACGTATATTTATTTTCATTATTAAAAATGTCAGTAAGATTAACCTAGGTGAGGAGATGATGGCCCATTTTGAATTTTCTTTAAAAATGAAACAATCTTCCTAAGTGTTACACTTTTAGAAGGAAGATTTGGAAGGTGGTTGGAGAAGAGTCTTATTCACGACAGTTCTAGGGAGACTTGGGTGCCACGTCAGAGAGAAGTTGATAGTTCTTTGCTTTCCACTGAAGTCTCCATGTCACTTTATAGCTGGCACAGGGCCACCTGCACAAGAACAGTGAGGTCCGGCGGCCTGCCTCATCCCCTCTCAGGCCTGGTATGTGCCCAGGTGCCATCCCAAAGCAGAAGAGCCTCTCTGGGGCTATGCCTGGATGGCAGCGGGGGAGGTGAGGGGGCCCGGGGTGGGTAAAGCTTGAGGGGAGCGCGCTCAGGACATCCCTGGCTGTGGCGAGAGGGTGTGCTGTGGCCTGCGGTCTGCAGGAGGCCATCATAGGACCAGGGATCCAAGCTGGGGAAGCAGAACTCAGCCAGTCGGCAGCAGTGCCTGATGCCACTACACACCTCCGGGGGCCAAATGTCAAATGAGGGAGGGACCTGGCAGGCTGTGGGGTTCCCACCAGCCTGGAGCCTCTGAGCTAAAGTCCCAGAATCACACTGGTCTTGCTTCCATGCACCTCACTTTCATCCTGGAGGCCAATGGTGGTAGCTGGTTGGGCCTCTGCTGCTCGTCCTGCCCACATCTGTCTGCAGAATCAGGACATGCAGCTGGGCCGGGACAGCTGTCTCTGTGCTGGAGGGTGCTCAGCTGAACCCGCTGGGGGCCAGACCTGGCTCACAGGACAGATGGGCGGTGTGCCGAATCGTGCTCAGCTAAGGCTGGGAAACTCGTTCTCCAGACTCTCCTCCCCTGAGTGGCTTTGGGCTAAAGCCTGACATAAGAGGAACCCATGTGGGATTTGGAAGGTAGCAGTCCAGCAGCAGACGCTCGTGCAGCTTCCACCGCTGACACTGAGCGTGGGTACTGGCTCCTCCCACGCCCCTCTGCAAAGCGTCTAGCTCACCTTCCCAGCTGCTGGCCCTGCTCCAGGCCCCCCAGCAGTACAGACATCAGCCTTGGCCTTCAGGGACGTGCCGTGCTAGAGGCGGACCCAGCTGGATGTGCGTCCTCTCCAGGGAGCCCCTACCCGACAACGCGGGCCAGGCAGGATAAGAAAAGACATGGTTGCACCTCTCTGGTCTCACATGCCTGAAGTCAAGGTCGTCTTATGACTGGTGTGAATGTAGCTAAAAGCCAAACAGGATGCAGGCCTGCGCAGGGAAGGCAATTAGCAAAGACATCTCTTGCACCTCTGTTCTCACTTATCTCATCCTTATCTAACTAAATAAGACTCTTCGCCTACAGTAAAGGCAGCTGCTCCTACAGACCTGGACTTGCTCGGCTGGGGGACATTGTTCGTGCTTGCTCACATGGCTATTTGTAGCTAAAGTTCTTACTTTTGGTTAAAACAAAAGTTTTCCTCTAGAATAGAAGCAGAACACAGAGTTTTAACCTGTGAATTTGTAATTCTTCTTCCCTTTGGGTGCCCGTTAGTGGTTCTATCTATTCCTCCTCAGCCCATGAGGTGTAAAGAAAGTTCCAGGACACATCTCAGAAGCACCTCTGGATTCCGTCTGCTTTCACCGAGGTGCCATCTTTGGACACACCTGAAAGCCTTCAAGGCAGCACCTTTTTTTGTTGTTTTTAAGTAAACATAAGGTGGATACTCCGATCTAGTGTTTTTTTCTGCTCCTCTTTCAGTCTTTCTCCCTCTTTTCTATCCAGATTGGCACATGCACTTGTTTGCCTTGGATGAGCTGGGGTCAGGGGAAAGCTAACGGGTACCAGTGAGTATCTCCATTGTGATAGGTTCCCATGCCCCTCAGTCTTGTGAAAATGTCCCGGGTTTTATTATTTTTTTAATGAACAAAAATGATTTTATAATCATATAGGCACTCAGTTATAAATCGAACTGAATGGAAGAGTTCAGAATGAAAAGCAGCAGTTTCCTGATTCTCCACCCCCACCCCAATCCTACTTGCTCTGGGACAACTCCAAACAGTTCCTGCCCGTGGTTACTCTTGTTGCCGTGGCTGGAAGGCCAGACAATAGACCTCTTCCTCTGTTTCTTCACTTGTCAAGTTTAGGGAGTGGCCACTGACCCTGTTGTGGTCCATGAGGATTTACACACCCTCTTCTCCTCCTCTTCCAAAATTGCAGTCATGTTCTTTGTTTTTGTGTTAGTTCCCTGAACAGGGTCTTTCAACACAGGGGGCGGGGAGGGGGCGTGCCCCAGATGTCCTGAGTCCCCGTCGAAGAAGGCATTTCTGGGGCACAGATTTCCTCTGTCGGGACAGCCCAGTGGCCTGTGGGGCTTGAAAGACAGACAGGCTGCCTGAGCTGTGAGCACAAGCAGGGGGTGGGGGCAGAGGGAGGGAGCTGGGAGCATCCCACTCTCAGGCCCCCTCTTGCTCTTCCCCCCAGGCCTGGGGCTCCCCGACTCCTCTGAATTCTGTGTCATGGCTCCCCCGCCTCATTTCATGGTTCCACGTGGCCCCATCCACTTTCTTGTCTTCCAGGATCCTGCTGAAGTTTCTCAATCACCAATAACCCTCCCTCGTGGGTACATTCCTTCTTTATTTCTATCCTTTACTCAGTCTGTCTTTTCAACTGGGAAACCACATCAGCTTTTTAACAGGTCTCGAGACACAAAACAGAGGCCTGAGGTTGGCAGCCAGAGCCAGCCCAGGCAGTCTACAAAGGGAAGCTGCGCACGATCTTCCGATGATGGCCTGCCTGGGCCTCTCTGGGTTCCCTTTATAGACGTTCCAGACAATTCCATCCATTCCAAACTTCCTCATGGCTTTAAAACAATTGCTCAACCTGGGGCAGTTTGGGGAGTATCAAGACATCTTTAAAATGGTGGAGATGAATTGGCTGTGGGGTCAAGCCAACCTACGCGTCTCCTTCTCCCACAAAGAAGGTCTCTGTACCCATGAGTGGACACATTTCTGCCAGCCTGGTCGGTCATTCAGGGCAACCCGTTCTTGTGAAGCTGAGAGTTTTGACTGTGTCCAAAAGTCCCTGTGAACACATTCCATCTATGAGCCTTATGCAAATCCCACGAGGTTGTGCTATCCCATTTTCAAAAGCAGACCAGTGGCTGTAGAGGAGGGGTGGTGGACTCGGCCACAGTTTCTGGACTGACCCCAGGTGTTGGAGTTGGGTTTCTAGCCCAGATCTGGCTCCGCTGTCACGAGTAACTCCCAAGCCACCCGCCGCTGCACCCTCTTCCCCCACAGCCACCCACGCACCCACACCCATTCATGGCTGTCCTAGTCATACACTCATTTTCCACCCGCCAATCTTTATGGACTAAATCTATTACCCCAAAATGTTCCTGGGACAGAGCTGCCACTGTGATTGATAACCTGTGAAAAGCCGGAGACGGCCCCACGTAGGCTGTGGGAGGGAGGTCGGCGACTGTTCTCAGAGGAGTGGGTCCCTCTTCTCCGTGAGCTGCATTCTTGGATGATGCACAAACAAAACTCTTCAGAACAAAGCGCCAGTTTACTTTTGTCTTTTTTCAAAGAGCTTTACTTGAGACTTTAATAGAACTAAACAAGGCCAAAGTGTAGTTAGGGCCCCAATCGGAGGTAACAAAACCAAGCTGGATCCAGGCTGGAAATGGTGTCTGCAAAATCCGCAGCTGGGAGCAATCGAGATCGCCTGGGATTGAGATGTGTGGGGCTCTGAACAAGGATGGATGGGTAGGGTGGATGGTACCTGGATAGGGATGGGAAGAGCTTGGATGGGGATGGGCGGGGCCTGGATGGGATGGGAGGAGCCTGGATGGAGGATGGCTGGAGCTCTGGATCTTCCCCCATGTTTAGAAGAGGAGGAACTGGATGGAAAAGCTGGCAGGCGAGAGGAGGTGTGATTGAGGAGACCATGGCATCTGGACTTGAAACGTAGCTCTGGCACCTGCCAGCTGTATAAGATGAATGAGTTCTTTGCCTCCTGAGTAACAGTCACCTTTTGTGCAGATCAGATAGATGGTGCATGCAAATCATAGGACAGTGCCTGGCCCCCAGGTGACTCTGGGATTAAGCCTTCTTCTTTCCTGCCTCTTTCCTTCAGAGAGCTGGGCAGTACCCAGGAATGTATGTGCATGAATGAGGCCTGAATGCACCTGGATGTGTCCTCCCCTTGGGGAAAGTTGAATGGACCAGAAGCTAGGAACCAAGAGACCCAGGTTCTGGCCTCAGCAGTACCACTGACCTGCTGCTGTGTGACCTTCAGCTTTCCAGATGCAGATGGAGGGTTTTGGACTAGAGAAAGGTGTCCAGCTTCCTTGAATGCAAATAACCATCCACCCACAAGAATGCCCCTACAAAACCCACAGGTCCTGTGTTCTGGCTGCTGTAAGGTCCCGTAGGTGCTGTTGGTGGGAGTCCCCATGCCTTTCAGCTCCCACTAGGTCACCATGTGTCACTCTATGGCTCATGGGCCTCTAAAGGGGTGGTGTGCTGGCATAGGCCCTGCCCACTGGGGGAATGTGATGCCCACAGGCCAAGGATGTGGCTAGATCATGGCTGCCTTGCCTCTTGTGGCCAGCAGGGGGCAGCATCATGCACCAGGTGTGAGCTGGGCCCAAGGTGGGGGTGGGAACAGAGGGCCCTGTGTAACTGAGAGGTCAAGGCGAGACTGACCCCTCCCTTCTGCTTCCCACAGCTCTCTGGACCCACAGCAACTAGAAACAGCCCAAGGGAGTCTTCCTCCAAATCCCTTGGGTCTTTCACTTGGGGCTGGCGGGTGCACAGCAGGGCCAGTGTGCGTCGTGGACCAGAACAGAGAGGCTGGAGTAAGGGTGTGCAAGGCCATCATCCGTCCGCCTCTGAGGACCTTTTTGCGTCTCTCCCGGGGCAAGTACTTCCGCCCGGGTAGCACCTGGCTTCGTCTGGTTTTACCCAGACGCTTAATCAGCGCTCCCTGGCTTGGCCCTGGAAGCCCTTCCTTCTGCCCCACGAGTGACAAGCACACCAAGACGAATCCGCCCTCTCGGGTGACACCCTTCTACAGTCACTGGCTTGGTTAGGATGCTTTTCTTTCTTTCTCATCTCTTCCTTTTCCTGGACTGTGGTCGCTGCTGCCAGCCATTCCGAAGCCTTGTGCCAGGCGCTGCTGACCTGCGGGGTTAATTGGGTCGGAGCCTCACTGGGTTACAAGCTGCCCAGGCGTCGACTTGGGCAAGGGCAGGCTGCTCGGAGATTAAATTCCTCCACAGCAACCGTGGGCTGTTTTTCCTGGTAAGATATGAGCGTCTGTCAATGTCGGCCCTCCAGTCCGATCTGATTGTTGGGGCTCACCCGCTCAGCTCGGGGGGACAAGGACAAGGAAGTGACACCAGGCAGACCTGATGCACTGAACCGAGCGCTGCCCTCTGGGGCCCGCCTTACTCTTGCGGGAAGATGGCAGGCATTGGGTAGGAGTCCTGGGTTGGAATTCTTGCTGCTCGTCCTACTGGCTTGTTTTTGGATGTGTCGCTTGGCCTGCCCAGCCTCAGTGGCCCCTCCCGGGAGACGGGGCCGCGGCGCAGGGCTGTGGTGCAGGTGCAATGCACTTAGTGTCGACTGTATCAGTTCGCTCTGCTCCCGCCAAGGCCACCCAGTGCTGAAGCAAGCACAGCGCACGGCTCTGTGCGGCCACCTGAGCTTGACGGTTTAAGCAGTGTGTGAACGGCGGGTCTGTTGTAATGTGGCTGCTACACTCTTTCCTCCTTTTCTTCACTCCATTAGGCAATGTCACGCCAGCTGAGTGCGTGGGGCTGGAGCCCGAGCTCCCTCTCCCTCACCTGCCAATCACCCACAAGCCCGTCCTCTACCTGCCCTCAGCCTCTGTCCTGAGTTTCTGACGGTACCAAGGCTTTGGCTTGGGCTCTGGTTTCAGTGGCCCCCAGGGCAAACGCTGATAGGAAAGCAGGGTCTTTCCTTGCGTCAGGAAGAGCACCGTGCAAAACAGGGAGGGAGCTGGGTGCCTGGTCTGATTCTAGGGACTCGGGAGACTCCGTGAACAAGACATCAGACATCTCTCACTCATGGGCTTACACTGCAGTGGGAGAGACTGTGAATAAAAAGCAGAATACATAGGGGGCTTCTGTAGCAGGCTAGAGGTGCCCCGCACTACGGGAAAAGGAAAAGTTGTGCAGGGTAAGGGTTGAGAGTGCAGCCAGGCAGGGCAGGGGGCGCTGCTGGGGAGGGGCTGCAACATCATATAAGGCAAGGCCTGTTAGGGAAGGCCCCAGTGAGAAGGTGACATCTGAGTAAAGACTTGAAGGACACTAGAGAAGTAGCCAAGAGGAGATCTAGGGGAAGAGCATCTGGGCAGAGAGAGAGTGCAAAGGTCCTGAGGCCAGAGAATGACCCTGTTGACATCTTGATCTTTGGCTACCAGCCTCCAGAGCTGTGCGAAATAAACTTCTGTTGTTTAAGTCACCTGATCTGCCGTACTTTGTAATGGCAACCAGAGCAGACTAATTCAAGCACCTTCCTTCAGAGGAGTAGCAGGCCAACCCCAGTTGGACAGGCTTAAGAGAGCATGGGGAGAGGGGAATGGGATGGGAGAATGTGGATAACTCTATGACAAAGAAGAGCAAAGACAGGAGAGGCAGCTTTCAGAAGTAGGATCAAGGAGTTTCTCTTTCTCTTTTCTTTAAGAACATTTCTTCTTTTTTTTTTTTTAGACAGGAGACAGAACATTTATGCTGCTGGAAATGGTCCAGTAGCTGTCACAAAAGTGATGACGATGCAGGAGAGAGAGGCTGTTGCTGGAGTGAGGACCATGGTTGGTGGAAGGGAGGGTCTGGTGGCCCGGATGGTCTACCTCAGAAAAGGCAGAGTTTATGGGCGCAGCGTGTCAGGCAAGAAAGGATTGCGAGGCCTGCCCTGGGCACCTTTCAGTTATCTCTGCCTTTCACTGTCATTGTGCTTTTTACAACTTGACAAGTTGTAGAACACTTATAATGAAGCAAATAATTCCTGTCCATCGAAATGCAAATGAACTATGGCTCCTGGAAAGCAATTTACGACCCGCCCCGTGGACAAGCTGGCTTTGCATCTATTTGCATATTCATTTCAGCATTCTTCATTGTGATTCTTTCAATTCTCCTTTAAACCACAGGTAACATCTTACTGGTTCCCTCATTAATTAGTGAGTGGAATGAGATCTTTGGCACATGCTCATTTTATGTTTGTATGAGAGTCATTATTTACCTTAAAAAAATCCTTTTGCAAGATGCCAACAGATGTGATGAAATAAAATTCCTAATTGATGGCAAGAAGAGAAAAATTTAAATACAAATTTTTTCTTTGCCCTTTTGGGCCTCCTCCCTCCCCTTTAGTGTGTATTGTGTGTCTGCACTCACCAGACCTCCTTAAGAGAGACCACTGCTTCTTTATTTCATCAGGGGTTATAACTCCTTAGGAGATAATCTTTCTTCTTAACCTTGTAAGGGGCCGTGATGAACCATGACCCACTACTCACTTTGTACATGCAGATCTGGGATGTGTAAACTGTCAGTAATGAGTCCTTTGATGTGTCACCCTTTACCTCAAAAACTTGCATAACTGTGCTTTGACCTCGAACAGGCAGAACGGTCCTCAGAGTTTTCTGAAAGACTGTTTCCTGGCTTATAATCCCCACTCAGGTAGGTGCGGATATAATTTTCCATTTCTCTCTCAGATGGACTATTGATGAATTTTTTTGCCGACAGATGGTGGATGTCTTTGCAAACTCTCTTCTGATGGATTAAATTTTCCCCTGATACTGGCGCTCTGAGCAAAAGCAGACCCCCTCTGAAACCCTTGCCTGGGAAGCGCCTGAGTGACAGGAGGGACACACGGGTCACCTGGAGGTATTCTGCAGGTGTGCCCATGAGCTGAGTCTTGACCAGGCAATGGCCCAGCCCTCCCCAGAGGGCCAGGCCCCTGGGCCTGTGTGTGTTGGAGGGAGCCTCGATTTCTACTCTGGCTGCAGGCTGAAACGTGACACCATCATATTTTACCCCCAAAGGCCCGATTTGGTTTATTTATTCATATGACTACAACCCTGATGAAGGTGGGTTAATCCCAGTGGGCCAGTGTGACCCCAAGGGGACAACACCGCCCATGCACAGGCCTGGCTCTGAGAGGAGACCCTGCAGGGGCAGAGGCTGCCCCAGGACACAGACGCTGAGCTCAGCCCCCAGCCCACCTCCCCTCCAGGGCTCCCTTCTGGGCTCCACATCTGACTCCAGGCTGGGAGGAGACTGATCGGGCAGAATCTGTCCCTACCTGCTTGTTAAGGGCAGGGTCTGACCCCGCCACACTGGCTTGTTCCAATGGCTGGGGCCCCTCTGTGGTGGGTCCTGGCCATGTCCCTCCCCTCTCAGTGTGCAACCAACCCCCTGCCAGCTGTCCTACTGCGGAAAGTTCATGAATTTTGGTCTCAAAGTTCAAGATAGAAGCCCAAGCTCCTTCATTCCAAGCTGGCTGGCCTTGGCACGGTGACATGTCTCTAAGCCTCCATTTTCTCTTCTGAAAAACAGGGATAGAAGAAGCTTACCTCTCTGGGCTGCTATGCAGATGAACGATCTTGAGGGCAAAGCTCGGGGTGCGAGGTGGGGCACAAGGCAGAGCCCAAGTTCCCTCCTATGCTGACCCAGGGCCTGGCCCTCAGCCCGTGATGGACCCCTCCTCCAGGGAAGGATCCCGGAGGCTCTGGCCTCGCTGTGGGCCCTGCCCCACGCCTCAAAGGCAGAGGCATCTTAAGCCCTCACTGTAACTGCAGTGTCAGCAAAGGAGTCCAAGCTGGACCTTCCCCTCAATGGCTGGTGCCAAATTCTGCCTCCTGCCCTAACTTCCTCTGAGGATCCTGGTGTGACTCTTCTGTCATATATAAAAACGCCTTACTGCTCTAGAATCTGATTCCATTTGGCTTTGTACAGGCTCCTCAGAAGTATCAACATATATACATTGGTTTGTGGCCTCCTCCAGTCCTTAAAGCTACTCAGTCTTTCAAACTTGAACCAAGCGCCACCACCTCCAGGCAGCTTTAGTGGATTGCTCACAGATCAAATCTCCTCCCCACCCTGACTGTATTTAGATACTTAGATTCTGTTTCTGCGATTAGACTCATTCGCTCATTCATTCATTTACAAATCCAACAGGCTGAAGTTGACTGAGCACCTGCCGCGCACAGGCCCTGTCCTAGGCCTGGTGCCTTCAGGTGGTTGTATCCCCAGGCAGGTTTACATTCCCAGTGCTGAGCCCAGCACCTGCCTGTGGGGTGACAGGTGTTTGGTAAACAAGTAGATGCTGTGAGCCCGTCTGCCCGACCCTCCTGCATTCAGCACATCTTTGTTTAGATTTTACCTGTGCCTTTGCTAAATCACACTTTAATGATCCTTCTTCACCCAGTGCACATTCTCCCTCCCTCAGTGGGAGACCTATGGCCCCGGTGGGGGTTTGAAAACTGTTATCAGGCTGTTGGAGTCTCCCTGCTGCTCCAGCCTGGGCCCTGTGCCAGCTGGTCCCCACATTGGCCGCACCCAAGGCAAGCCTGCCCAGCCCTGCCGTCCTCCGGCAACCTCTGAGGCGGTGAGGGCAGGGGGCTCGCATGAGCCTGTCCGGGTTCTGCGGCTGCCGGTGTTACCCGTATCAGTCTCCTGGGGCTGCCGTAACAAAGTACCACAAACTGGGGGGCTCAAAACAACAGAAGCATAGTCTCTCACAGTTCTGAAGACCAGAAGTCCAAAATCAGGACCCCCCCCCCCCGCAGGACCCCACTCCCATCACACTCTCTAGGGGAGATCCTTCCTCACCTCTAGCTTCTGGTGGCTCCTGGCATTCCTTCGTGTCGCTTGGCCTGTGGACACGTCACTCCAAGCTCTGTTTCTGTCTTTCCACGGCCTTCTTCAGTGTGTCTCCTTCCATGTCTTCTCTTCTCTGAAAGACACCAGTGGATTAGAGCCCGCTCAGATTCAGTAGGACCTCATCTGAAGGACACCTGCAAAGATCCTGTTTCCAAAGAAGGTCACATTCTGAGGTTCTAAGTGGACGTGAATCTGGGGACTATTCAACCACCACCTGGCCCTTCTGGGCAGAAATCTGGCATCTCCCACAATTCCAGCTTTCCCCTGGGCATGCATGGAAGGGAAGAGGACCAGGATGGTTTCGCCTCTCCCATCACAGCTGACTTCCTGATCCACAGTCACAGCACTCCAGCCCTGCCTGGGGACCCTGAGCTCTAGTGACATGGGACACACCCGAGGCCCTGGGGTCCGGCCGTGGTTAAGCCAGGAGTCCTGTCCTGGCCTTTGGTGCTAGACGGAGTCTCTTCCTAGAGAGAAGTTTCTTCCGCAGCACTTGCCCCGGTCATCCTTGGATGAGCAATGCCACCCGAGGGGACCCGGTATGGCATTTGGTAAGCAGACTGTGACATTCCTAGGCAGCCTCGGGGGCAGAAGCTCTGGTTTCTGACATATAAATAACTGTATTGTTGCAAACATAAATTGTAAACACAAGTAAGCCCCATGTCAGAAATCCATTTTTATTTAAAAAAAAATACAGTTTTTATGTTATGGGTCTATTTTTCACTAAATGAGGAAGATGGCCAAAACCCCTGAGGGAGTGAAATGAAAGGCAACTCTTGGCCAATCCACGGGGGACTCTAAACACATGAGCGAAAATGAAAGTAGCCATTCAACGATTTTATGTTAATTAGACACCGGGTATGACTCAGCTCGCAGAGAAGTAGGTGAAACATTAGTTCCTTGTCAGGCCGTTGGGAGTGTTGTCCTTCGGGGAAGAAGTCGGGCGAGTTGGGCCTTGTCTGTTTATGCTCATTGCTGGGAGCATCTCTGCCTTGAAGCACCAGATGGGGCCCGGCCCCGCCGCACGGGGATCTTTTTGTAGGAACACGGTCAGTTCGTGTGAGCTTCTTACAAAGGTTACAGCACCTGGTCTTGGGGTGGCCGGGTAGCCTGGGCGCCTGGGGCTAAGAGCCAGGTCAGGGGGGCTGTGCCCCTCGCTTCCCGGCTCAGTCTCTCTGAGTTCCAGTCTCCTCCTTGGTACTCTGGGGATGATGCCAGCAGCCACCTCAAAGGCTACTGTGAGGATTAAATGCCTCCTTCCAGGAGAAGGGCTTAGCACAGGGCCGGCACACGCAGAGGGCCCTCCGTGAAGGCAGCCACTGTTACCCACATTCGTCTGATAAGTGCACAGATGAGTTTGAAATTACCAGCCATAGTGGGTGGGCCTTTATCCCTCTCAGAGTCATCCCCCATCAGGGGAGCCTTGTCCCCGTGCAAACTCTGGGGAAATGGTTATCAAATGTGAACCCAGAAGCTTTGTCTTTTCCTGGCTTTCAACCCTCAGCACAGAACCACCATGATTTTGACTCTTACTTTTATCTGCTCTTTAAAGTAAACAACCAATTCACACCCCGAGAACTTACAGATTGGTAGGATATAAATACATCCATTTGTTTTAAGCTGTCGGAGAGAAAAATGACATTTTTAGCAGTGAGAAGGGCTGAATCATGGTCTGGAGGGATGCAATTGGATCGACCGCTTCGAGGGGTCAAGTGTAATTTTGGAGCAGAATTAGTATGATTCGTGATAGAGCTGTTACACCTACCCCACAATCCCTTCAAAACAAATTCAGTTCCAGGCAAGGATGATGTTTCTTTTTATTTAGGCGTTTTCCAAAAAGTTTAAGATGTGCTTTTGGAAGGAGGTGTTTGTGAGTTGTGAAGAGTCTGGAATTGCCTCTTCCCGCTGGGCACGTCTTTTTTCCAAATGTCAAAGTCATGGCGATGTGTCCAGATGACATCTGAGTGATGGCCGGACAGACTCCGTATCCTCGAGGTTCCAACAAGTTCCCTCCATTATTCCACCATTTCTTACGGGAGTGGACTGGAAAAAGGCCCAGTCAGGACAAACGGACTTACAGGAAGTACTGAAAAGGGGCGTTCTTGAAATACCTGAAGGACTTTAAAGCCACGTGCACTGTGTATACTATTATGAAGGAGGAACAGAATTCAAAAGCACTTAACCTCAGTCTCTTCATCTGTCCATAGAGGCTCGTAGTGACCTGACTGCCTTCCTGATGGAAGTCTCTGGGGGTCAACTGAGGAGGAGGCGCCTTGGAAACGTGAGGATGCCAGGTCACACGGAGGGGGCGGCTGGACGCCTGCTGCCCTGGGGCCCCCCAGCCCCTCTTCCCGGCTCTCCCTTCCGCCTTCCCGTAAGAGGGATTGATTTCGAAGTCTGAGGTCACGTCTACCAACCAGGGCAACTTTGAAAGAAAAACCAGCTGAATTCAGGCCAGGTGCCTCTTTCTTGGCTTGTTTTTTGGGAAGAAAAGTTTAGAATCAATAATCAGAGGTTTGAATTAGTTCAACCTTATTTTTCAAAATAACCAGTTGCAGAATTGAAGCATTCCCCACCCTCTACCTTGTTCCCAAAGACAAGCCCTGACTCTTCCACAACCAGCTCTCCCAGCGCCTTTGTGGGGGTGAGCCCTCACCCTGAGGTCCCTTGCTGTGAAGGAGGAAGGTGCATACACCCAGACCCATCTCTGTCTAAGTAATAGGTCAGCCAGCAGCACAATATTTCTGGATGCTCTTCAAACTGTTCCGCTCAGATTTATTTCAAGTGCGGATTTAGTTTCTTTCCTGCCGTGTTACCAGTTGGTAAGGACGTATTTTGCCAAGGTAATTTGCTCTCCTCTGGCCCAACTGAGATGCAGCAAGGAAAGACATGAAGTCTTCAATCTGAGAAAGGAAAGAGCATAAATTCTGAAATGTAGCACCCCCTTCCCCCAGCGTGGGAAGGTCCCAGGGGAGGGCTGTGAAAGAATTCGATAAAGTGTTAATAGCTCAAGACCCAAGGTAGCTGAATTAAAGGCAAGCTAGGGGACCATCTCTTCTCTTGATCTATAAAATGTGGGGAAATCTCTGTATCAACTCTGACAGCTACTTGGG